ACTTAGAGAACAGCCTGGTCTACACAGTGAGTTCCAGGACAACCAGGGCTACACAAAGAAACCCTGAAAAAAAGTAAAAAAATAAAAGACCCTAAATCAAAGGTACAGATCACCCTTTTGACAGTCGAGGAAACTGAGAGTCAGACAAAGTGATTTGCCCAGAGTACCATGGTGGCTACGGTTGGTTACTACAGAAGATAAAGATGGAGGAGGAGGAAGAGGAGTTCTTATTAACTCTTAAGATGCTGGCCCAGGGAGGTAGTGAGTATTAGAGAGGGAGGGGTGGGGGTGGAGCCTCAGCCAATCCTTTCCCAGCTACCCCAACAGAAGTGAGGCGCTTGCTCTTGGGGCTCTCACCAAGAAGCCCCCTTCCTGCTGAGCCTGCTGTAATGAATAAGCCAGAGTTTATCACTGATGGCTGGTTACCTCTACAGACTTCTGCAGCAGTTTGTTCCTGTGAAGAGATTAAAGATTACCCTGCTAGCTGCTGGCTGTGACTGCTCCCACTCACTGCTGGGTGAAGGGCAAGTGTGGGTTTTGCAGGGATATCTAACTCTGCCAAAGTCCGTTCATGCTTTGTGTCTTTGAGAGAGTCACTTGGTGTCTCTGGTCTTTGGTTTCTTCATTTTGAGATGTTTGAAGATGCCAGTGTCCCCAGGCTTGTTTACAGGGTTTGTCTGGAACCTGTTCACAAACCTTCACTCCCTTCTCCATGTTTAGACTATCTCATCCGCCAGCAATGAGCTACTGGGGTGTCTGTAATTCTGGGGAAGAATAGCAAATTCCCCACTTTGCTAAATAACCGCCTCTCTCTGCAGAGAAAGAGAAAGATCCCAATTATTGGCGACAGCAAGCCCAGGAGACCTTGAAAAATGCCCTGAAACTCCAGAAGCTCAACACCAATGTGGCCAAGAATGTCATCATGTTCTTGGGAGATGGTGAGGCTGGGGGCAGTGAGGCTGGGAATGATGGAGCTGGGGGCAGTCATGTTGGGGACACTGAGGCTAGGACATTGGAGCGGGAGGCAATGGGTCTCTGAAAAGGATGATTCCAGGTAGGAAGTGGAAGGGCCATGTGGAGGCAGGCTCTGGGGTATAGATTTAGGAGAAAGGGACCAAGCCATGGTCCCTGAGAGTATAGTATGAAAGGACAGACCATCCCACAACATTTACAGAGCCATACCCTCTTGACGGCTGCTCACTGCCCTCGACTATCTTAGCACTGAACTAGAGAGCTCTGGGTGCCTGAGAGTCTGAGTTCTCTGTCCCCACACAGGGATGGGCGTCTCCACGGTGACGGCTGCCCGCATTCTTAAGGGCCAGCTGCACCACAACTCAGGGGAGGAAACACGGCTGGAGATGGACAAGTTCCCCTTTGTGGCCCTCTCCAAGGTGAGCTGTCCCAAATCCACTCTCCACCTGGTGAGCTGTGAAGCCATCAGACCTCCTGGGTCACATGGGTCACCTGGTCCCATCGTGACACCAGGACAAAAGCAACCATTCTCAAGGTTTTTGAGACGTTTTAGCTCATTGATCTAGAACCTGTTGTTGGTGTGTAACATACCCAAGAAAGAGTGTGTGTGGTTCAACTTGACTCTGTCCCAAGCTACTGGTGACTGTAACCCACACCTGGCTGTTGCAACTGAACTAGGACCTGCTGTCCCCTAAGCTGTGTATTTTGTCCTTGTCCCTTTCTCCACTGACAGTAGCCGCTGTCCTGACCCCCACGCCATTGATTGGTTGCGCCTGCTCCTGCATTTTCTGTAAACAGTCAGCCCAGTTCCCAGGCTAGACTACCAGTGTGAGCCACTCGATACCCTGCATGCTATGAGCAGCTGTGGCTATTGTGGGGGTGGGGAGGTGGGGGTGGGTGGGGGTGGAGGGATGTATAACAAGCCCCTCCTAGTCACCCAGAGTCAGGCTCTAGTTTCTAGGGGAAGATTGGGGGCTGTAGTTTCTGGACCACTGGGGAGCTCTCAGGCTCATGGGGGTTCGGAAAGTAGGCCTATGGGGTCTCCCTGGGAAGTCTGGGCACAGAGGTGACCATTTGCAGGGCTAGAAGAGAAGCCAGGTTGATCTCTCAGACCCACCGTCCCCTCCCAGTATCCCCTCCCTGCAGGGACATCCTTTCTTTCCCTCCTCCAGGCCCATCCACTCCCACCCCTTGCTGGTCCACAGCTCGCCACTCAGGGAAAGGCATGGGCAGCAGGCAGCTCAGTCAGGTGACCTCCCGGTTCTGGGGACCTCGATGAGCAGCAACATCTCTCACACCCTGTTCCCTTGGTGGCAATGCAGGCGGGGTGGCCATGATGGGTCCCCTCCCCTGACTCTCCCTCCCACCTGCAGACATACAACACCAACGCTCAGGTCCCCGACAGCGCGGGCACTGCCACTGCCTACCTGTGTGGTGTGAAGGCCAATGAGGGCACGGTGGGAGTGAGCGCAGCCACTGAGCGCACGCGGTGCAACACCACTCAGGGGAATGAGGTCACCTCCATCCTGCGCTGGGCCAAGGATGCCGGTGAGCCGTCACAGGCAGCGGTTCTGCGACTGTCTGGGCCTTTGCCTCCCCATCCATGCGTGGGGGGTAGGGAAGCAGGCTCTCCAGGGCCTCTTGCTACCCTGTGCAGAGCGGCCAGGGGAACCCCCACCCCCATCTGAGGAGTCTGCATGGAGTGCCTGGGTCTGTGCATTTCACTACAGAGTGGGCATGCCAGTGGAGCCCCCCGAGTTTGAGTGAAGGTCAAAGCACCACGCCAGGGCCAGCCTGCAGCAGTTCAGAGTGCCCCGGGGACTTTGAAGGCAGGGTGACAGAGCCCTTCTCTCTCCCTCTGAGGTCCCTGTGGGGCTGCCTAGGGCTTCCTATAGGCCTGGGCTTCACAAGTCACGGATGGAGGAGAGGACCTCGGGTACAGGGAAGGGTGTTCGGCTGCCTCTGCCTCCATGCAAACTAGGGAAACTGAGGCCCAGACAACCAGAGGAACTGATGGGAGGCAGTTGATGGTGGGAGAGGGGGAGGTAGACGTCTACAAGGTGTGCTAACCTCTCCTGTCCCACACCTCAGGGAAGTCCGTGGGCATCGTGACCACCACACGGGTAAACCACGCCACCCCCAGTGCAGCCTATGCACACTCCGCTGATCGGGACTGGTACTCGGATAACGAGATGCCACTGGAGGCTCTGAGCCAGGGCTGCAAGGATATCGCATATCAGCTAATGCACAACATCAGGGACATCGATGTGAGTGGGAACACCAGGCATGGGTATGACAGAGTGGGAGACACGGAGAAGCCGGGGAAGGGGTGGGGCTTAGGCCCAGGATGGCCCGGGAAAGGCCTGGATTACCCACAAACCTGGGAGAGCTCTCAAACCATTAGGGAGTTTGTGGTTGGGACAGGCAGCCTCTGTAAGGTTTCTCTGCGGTGGGGTTGTGAAGCGAACCCTCATGTGGCTGCCACACCCTGAGAACTGAGTGCCCAGAAATTAATCCATGAATTAGAACCTGGTGCTGTACCCCATCCTCAGTATGCACTGACACCCCCCAGTGTATTCTGACATCCCCACACACACACAGTACACACTAATACACACACACACACTCACAGAGTGTGCACTGACACCTCCCGGGTGTGCCCTGACATCTCCCACACACACAGTACACACTGATACACACTCACACTCACAGAGTGTACACTGACACCTCCCTGGTGCCTCCCTGGTGTGCCCTGATATCTCACACACACACAGTACACACTGATAAAAACACACTCACACTCACAAAGTGTACACTGACACCTTCCTGGTGTGCCCTGACATCACACACACACACACACAGTACACACTGATACACACACACACAGAGTGTGCGCTGACACCCCCATCATACACACAGAAAGCAATGACACTCCCCCACAGTATGCACCGACACTCAGTGTGGTCTTAGGGGATGCCCTGCCCCACGTCTTCACACTTTCACAGCATGGCACATGCCTGCACACGGAGCTGACGTGTCGGGAAACACCCAGAGCACGCCATGCCGTTGCTACCCCTGCTCTGCTTTTACTAGCTTGTGTGACTTTGTGCCGTTACTTAACCTCTCTGAGCTTCCCCTTTTTACAATCCTTCTGCCAACTGAATCTGCTCCAGCAGCTCACTGAAAGAACCAAGTAAGAAGATCCTAGTTAGCTGGCCGCAGAGCCTGTCCCGTGAGTGCTCAAGTGGCAACCCTCACATGTAAGCCACCTGTCCTGGACGCACACACTTTAACACCCAAGCACGTCCTTACATGCAGGCCTCAGCTCTTGGGGAGAATTTCTGGGTTGTTCTTTTTATTTTTTTTTTTTTACCATGACAGTTGACCATGACTTAGACCTGTTGAGTCTGAAATCTGGGAGCAGTGACGCTCAGAGAAAGTTCTGGGATCCACTTGCCATCTCTCCCTACCTTCTTGATCTCTCAAGCCCCTGGCTCTCTTTTCCAAGTAGCGCTGCCTTCAGATCAGTGGTCCTGTTGGTTCCTCTTAGGAAGGAGCCACCTGGTACACAGCTGCCCATCTGGATTTATCTCCACCTGCCAAGCAGCCCCTCCCCTCCCTCCCCTTTCTGTTTCCCACCTGCTGGCTCCCAGGCTGGCCTGAGCTGAGGGAGGCCAGGATGAGGTCATATGTGAGAACACTGATCCCAGGAGTAATTACAGTAGTTCTTTAGCCGGCTTGGGCAGGAATCAGGAATCGCTGAGGCAGGGAGAGGCACTTTGGGAAACGATGCTTTGGAGGCAGTGAGGGGAGCTGGGTCTCCTAGAGCCATGAGGGTATGAGCCAAGGAGTGAGAAAGTCTCCTGCCCTCACTCTCCTCTTCTAGCCCCATTTTCGTCTCTGATACCACCACCCCAAAAGTCCTCCAGACCATCCATGAAACGAAAATCCTGGTGTCTACTCTGAAAATAAATATCTTGAGCTTTAAAGAGAGAAAGACACAAACCCAAACCCCAAAGGCGAACAGCGAGCCTGTTATTTGGGAGTTTAATGAACCCGTGTGAAGTCTCCACTGGGCTGGGACCCACGCACTCCCGGCAGGAAGATTGGGGGCTTCAGTTCCACTCTGAAAATGCCAAGGGGTCAGGTTCTGTGGGAACAGAAGGCGCCAGTGACCTGGAGTCCTTTTCTCCCTTTCCCAGGCGGCACCATCCCAGCTCCTTGCAGCACAGTGAGGCTTAGACCTGGTCTCCTTGGAAACGTATCTGTCCATCTTCATTGTTCTCTTCTGTGGGTGCATCTTCCACTGTGGGAATCCCCGGGGACAATGGATGACCGCCTTTCTTTTCTGGGCGGCCATTCCCATTTTATAGACTAGGAAACCAAGGCCCTGCAAGGTTTAAAAAAAAAACATTAACAAGCCGGGCAGTGGTGGCGCACGCCTTTATTCCCAGCACTCGGGAGGCAGAGGCAGGCGGATCTCTGTGAGTTCGAGGCCGGGCTGGACGGATAGCCTCCAAAACAATACAGAGAAACCCTGTCTCGTAAAAACAAAAAAAAAAAACATTAACAAGCAGTAAGGTGGGGTCCTTTTCCTTCCTGGGTGCCCAAGGCTCTCCCAGGAGTACCTTCCCCACACCCACTGCCAGCTCAGACACCCAGCTCTCTTCTTACCCCTGGGGAATAGAATTGAAGGGAGAGAGAGAGACTTTGTCCCATGTGGGGACAGTGGATCTCAGGTGTCAGCTGGGGCAGCAACTTGGGCTGATGCCCACGGTGACAGGAGGACATGGCATGGTGGTCACCACGGGCTGTGGCTATTGTGTTCTTGGCCTCTGCTTTAAAAATAGTTAGGACTTCAAACATGGATTCCCTAGGAAAACAAACAACCCCGCGTCCGTCTGCCCACGCTTGCCAGCCACAGTGGATAAAATTAGCCTGGCGGTGACTACACAGACGTGAGGCCGGCCCATGTTTGCCCAGGCTGTGGGCTGGTTCCCAGCTGGGCTGCCCCAAGACCTCCCTGGCCGAAGCCACTCACTGTGGGGGACTCCTGGAGGCCCCTGCCTTGGCTCTGTGCATACAGCAGAGCTGGGGGGTGGGGCTTTTAGTAGAGAAACACTGGGTTGTGGGTTTGAATCCTCTCTGTGCCGTGCACCGATGTGTGGCCGAGGAGTAAGAAATCACACCTCTATGCTCGTGTCTATACCGAGAAAATGCTGACTGCTCCCCTTGCAGCCTGGATAGGAGGTTGAGTGACTTACTCTACCTTAGCGGCTTAGGGCCTGGCACACATTAAATGGGCTTCACTCCACAAGGGGTATTAGCCTGGCGGGGTAAGCATCCAGGAACACTACTATTTCACCTGGAAGCCCCAAGCCACAGTGCAGCTAGATTAGTGATTTCATCTCTCCAATCTGAACAAGTAGAGGCTGAGAGAACACTGGCCCAGGACTGGCCTGCTAGGCAAGCGTCCACACCTCCACCCAGACTCTGCCGATGGCTTGGCAGGCTGGGACCCCTGGGGCTTCTGGACAATTTAGAACCCTGGGTGTGATAGATCGTGTGTTCCTCAGGTGATCATGGGGGGCGGCCGGAAGTACATGTACCCGAAGAACAAAACCGATGTGGAATACGAACTGGATGAGAAGGCCAGGGGCACAAGGCTAGACGGCCTGGATCTCATCAGCGTGTGGAAGAGCTTCAAGCCCAGACACAAGGTAGGCGATGGCTGCAGGTGGGGTCAGCTGTGGGGCCTTGGGCCTCGGGACCCCCAACTATGTCCCAAATGTTCTTTTCCAGTAAGGGTCCTGTTTGTCCCTTGCTCGTTCTACCCCTTACAGCCCTGTGACACCCATGCTCCCTGCAGGGGAGGCACCAAGGGGGGTGGTGGCAGGGCCAGTCACCTGGCTGGACCCCAGGCAGGTTGGGCACCTATGGAGGCACAATTCACAGGGCGTGGCATGTGCCTGGATGGCGGGAGTTGGGATCTGGAGGCACGCAGAGGGGATACACACAGAAGCCCTGAGCAAGTTGAGAGGTCCTGGGGAGGCAGATGACAGGAGAACACAGCTGAGTAGAAGTTGCTGGTCAAAGACAGAGGTGTAAAGCCCCCAGAGTACATCCCTCAGGTCAGGGCATGGGTGTACTGGGAGGGAGGCTGGAGCAAGGTCAGCCCAGGCTGTAGTTCCTCCGCGAGGCCTCTGGCCCTTTAAATCTGCCGCTGTGGGCCAGCCGGGTAGTTGGGTCTGGAAATGACTGTGGTCAGGCCTGAAGACAGTGGGGAGCAGCCTGGCAGCCGCTTTGATGTCACTCGGGTTGGGTTTCTCAGGGTTCCAGGGCAGTCCCTGGGGAGGCTTCGTGGGATGAAGCTGAGCTAAGAGAATGGTTGGGGCAGGGCTGGGGACAGTCCCATGCGTGGGAGTGAACGACTCTGTTCTCTTTCCCCAGCCTGGGGAAAGTAGGCTGGCTTGGACAGGCAAACCAAAGAAACACCATTTTCATTGCCTCAGTTTCCATAATCGGAACTGGCAAGCCATCCTTCTTGCCCCAGGACTCTGTATAGACTCCTGGCATGGGGAGGGGTCCGTACTATGGCCATTAGCCCTGCACAATAGGGTCCCTGTTGGATCCCAGGTTCTGGGCATTGAAAGAAGTGTCTGGAAGTGGTTCTTAATAATCCTGATGTATGTGTGCCTCAGTATCCTCATCTGTAAAATGGGGGATAGTCTTGAGAGACTGCTGTGAGGGTTGCCTGATACAACAAGGCACTGGGGACCTAAATCTGACTCTTGTGTCCCTTCCCCTGCTCCCGGAGAGCAACCTAAAGTATTGGAAAACCAAGCCAAAACAACAACCTCGCAAAGCCACTGCCCAGAGAAGGCAAGGGGACTGTCTTGAAGACACAACAAATTCCTCACGGTGCTGGAATCACACACTGGGGCCCTGGGTAATCCAGGCAGTCTCACCCTTTGTTCCTGTGTTCTGGGTCAGGGATGGGATTCCCAAGGCATCGCCAGTAGACCTCATTGCTGACAACACCACGCATTCCCTTCTGAAGGCATTCAAGGACTCTGTGACCACACGTCTCATCTTTGCCCTGTAGGACCCTCCTGGGAAAAATGGTTCACTGATCCCATGTGGATCAGTTTCCAGTTTGCTTCAGGATCCCCCAAAAGGTGTCACCTCCACCAGAAAGCCCTCTTTGATCCAGCTCCCAGGATCCTCGTCTGTCTGGATTGTGCATAATAATCCCTAAATATCTGTCATTTCTTGAGTACAGAGGTGGTAGGGTGTTAAATCTCTGAGGCCAGCTGGGGCTGTCCCCGGATTTCTCCACCTGCGCTGACACAGTCCTTCCTACCCCCAGCACTCCCACTATGTCTGGAACCGCACTGAGCTGCTGGCCCTCGACCCCATCAAGGTAGACTACCTCTTAGGTAAGTAGAGAAAGTGGGGAGCCCCTCTCCCCTGTTGCAGGGCCTTCCCAAAATGCAGAAGGAACGAAGGAGGTTTTTGTGTGTGAAGTTAAGCTGTTTGGGGAGATGAGTCCCAGTTGGCATAAAAACCCAAAATCAGAGAGGGGAGGGCACAGCCAGGGCAGAGCCAGCCAGGAAGCCTCTGCCAGCCCTCAGGGTGACCCCTGTTCCCTGCAGAGTGGGGACCAGCACGGGGAGTGGGCCCCCCAGAGGCTGGATGGCACAGAGGCCAGCTTGTCACCAGGAGGGCCACAGGACCTGAGCTGTAGGAGGCTGGTGGCTCCTACATCTTGGAGGTCAGCTCCTGTTTCCAAGATGCTCGAGGTGGTATGGCAGAGGGTGTGCTGGCTCCCTGGGGCTGTGGGTCGGCTGTCACATGGTGACAGGGTGAGGGACAGCTCTCATATGGAAGTAAACCAGGAACAGTGAGCAGAGGAGACAATGACCGCTAAGTTCTGCCGATTCACCCCGATGGGCCCTCAGACCTAAATATGCACATGCTTATGTTGTCCCCACTGGACCCCGTCCAGAGTCCACTGCCTCAGAGATGCCGTGTTGTGTCCTCTTGGGTTTGAGTTGCAGATCTGCACTTTCACCTGCTGAAAACAGCAAATAGTTGGGCCCCTCCGAGCCTCTGTCCCCTCCTCTTGGAGGTGGACCATTGATCACTCCTCCTGCCCCTGGTGAGGTGAGCTGTAGACCCCGTGGCCCTGGTGAGGTGAACTGTAAACCCCGTGGCCCTGGTGAGGTGAGCTGTAGACCCTGTGCCCCTGATGAGGTGAGCTGTAGACCCTGTGCCCCTGATGAGGTGAGCTGTAGACCCTGTGCCCCTGATGAGGTGGGCTGTGAGAATAATGAAAACTCTGAGTCCCATTCTAGATCTACAGAGCCTCCCAGGTAAGACCCCTCCCTCCTACATTTTCCCCAAGTTGAGCATAGGGATTCTGTGTTGTTTTGTATCCTCTGTGATGCCCCAGGTCCCTTGGGGTCCTCCCTGCAGGCTCAGGACTCTTGGCACCCACATTCTTGCCTGTGTCCACAGGTCTCTTTGAACCCGGGGACATGCAGTATGAGTTGAATAGAAACAACCTGACTGACCCTTCACTCTCGGAGATGGTGGAGGTGGCCCTCAGGATCCTGACAAAGAATCCCAAAGGCTTCTTCCTGCTGGTGGAAGGTAGGGCCTGATGGAGACGAACCTTCCAGAAACATGACTGGGGTTAGGCGGTGGAATGGTACAGCTTTCAAAGAACTGCCAATTTGGGGATCAAGAGAGAACTCCCTCTTAAGAGGGGATGTGGTGGAGGTTCCCAGTGAAGGCTGGGAGTTTAGAGGTCTGGGGAAACAATCTGAGAGGGCTTCCTGGCAGAGGAGGCAGCCGTCTCCCTTTGAGCTGTCCTTCTCTAAGACCTGGCTGTGGAGGGTCATCCAGCCTCTAAGTGTCACCATGCACAGACAGTTCCACATGTTCTGTGGCTGTCAGAGGCCGGGGAGATGGTGCTTGGGTGCTTGTCCTCATGCTACCCCAACCGTGGGACCAACCTTCACTAAGCATGTTTGTAAAACCAGGCCAAAACTTGTCCCCTGTCCTAGAGCAGTGACTCAGTTCCACTGTGCTTAAAAGTGTGTAAAAGCAAAGACTAAGTAAGCGTTGGGTTAGATGAGTCGGTGAAGTGCCTGCCACGCAAGCATGAGGACCCAAGTTCAGATCCCAGCCTGTGGAAAAGTAAGGCGTGGCGATGAGAGCCTGAAATGTGGCACAGATGGGTGGAGACGGGGGGGTCTGCGAGGCTCGATGGCCAGCCAGTCTAGCTGAATGCATAACCTTCAGGTTCGCTGAGAGACCCTGTCTCAAAAAATGGAGGTGGAGGGGCTGGAGACACAGCTCAGCAGTTAAGAGCGAGTACTGTTCTTGCAGAAGACCCAAGTTCAGTTCCAGGCACCCACATCAGGCGGCTCACGACCACTTGTATATCTAGCTCTAAGGATCATATATACACACATGCACACACACACATGCGCACACACAGAGAGAGAGAGAGAGAGAGAGAGAGAGAGAGAGAGAGAGAGGAGAGAGAGGAGAGAGGATTAAGGCCGGAGAGATGGTTCAGCAGCTCAGAGTTCTTGCTACTCTCCCAGCAAGTTTGGTTCCCATCACCCACACCCAGCAGCTCACTGCTAACTGGCTGCAACTCCAGTTCTTGAGGGTCTGATGCCGTCTTCTGGTCTTCATGGACACTGCACGAGCGTGCACAAACTCTGTGTGTGTGTGTGTGTGTGTGTGTGTGTGTGTGTAATTAAAGTTAAAAATAAAAGCTGGGTGTGGTGGCACACACCTTTAATCCTAGCACTTGGAAGGCAGAGGCAAGTGGTTTCCTGAATTTGAGGCCAACCTGGTCTACAGAGTGAGTTCTAGGACAACCAGGGATACACAGTGAAACCCTGTCTCAATAAATAAATGAATACTTTAAAAATAATAAATAAATAAATAGATGGGAAAGTGACTGAGAAAAGACACGTAGCATCCATCAATCAGTCTCTACACACACATACCCATATGGCCCCATGCACACACCCATAACTAACAAGTACATAAGCCCTGGGGGAGTAGACAATGATAGTTAGGCCTCAATGTTTCCATTGCTATCATAGTAATTACATAGTAGCCAAAGCAACAATGCGAAGTAACAAAGTTTCCAGAATCTTCCAGAATTTCAACAGCCCTGCATGGCCCTGCTGAGATACACATGTACTCATCCCATGCAGACACAGGGCATGTCTGCACACATGTCCCCAATGTACACATACCTGCTCAGGCCCCTCCACTTTCCAGAGGCCAGTGGCCACCGGCCCAGCTAGGCTACTTTTTTGCCAAGCCTGGGGTTCCTACCAGTGCAGCGGTCTGGCCCTAAGCAGGCCTCCGATCTGAGGAAGCGCCAGGAACCAGTGGTGGTGAACACGGGTCCCCCAGGAGTGGGCCTCTTTGTGAGCAAGGCCAGGTCAGCCTGCCAGGCCAGCTGCTCCCAGAACCACAACAAAGTCTGCCTGCCCTGCCAACGAGCCAGGCCAGCAGTGAGGGTGAAGTTAGCGGGGAGGGAGCTCCGCCTGGAGTCCCAGCTCAGGACCCTCAGAACTAGAAGTGACCACTAGGTGGCATCCTGCAGGCATATAAAGAAAAGCCGTTGCTAAGACATGCATATATACTCCAAGAGTTAGCGCTATGGAATTCAACCTTCCATTGGTCTTTCTGGAAGGCCACCATGACACTGCCCAGGCACCTGGGGGCTTGTGCCACCGTGAAGATCCAGAAGTTCCCATGCTTTCTGCTTCTAGGGATGTGTTTATGGAGGAAGCAAAACTATGGGCTTTGGAATGAATCAGCCCTGATCTCCTATCCAGTGCCCCTGTGGTAATGCCACCCCTGCCATGTTTCCTCAGCTGCTCTATCTGTACACAGGACTGAGTCACCATCCCTGCTCAGGTTGCTGTGACATCAAATGAGATGCACACAGTAGGGACTTAGGCATACTCCCTGTCCCTTCCCTTCCTTCTGCTCCCCTGAAGCCTTTGGCTACCCCCTTCGACGGCTGAGCTGGAAGCAGAGGAGAGAAGGAAAAGTCCAAGCTCTGACCTGGTGGCCTGTGTGCCACATTCTCCTTGCCTGCCCTCTGAAAGTCACTTGATGCTACGAGATGCCTGAGGTGGGCTTGATGGAGGCCGTTGTCATTTCCCATCAAGGAGATGTTCATCTGATGACAGTGTCCTGGGGCCTGTGGAAGCCTGGCTCCCTCCCCTGTCACCTCATGGGAGGCCTGTGTCTTGATGTCCCTAGGAGGCAGGATTGACCATGGACACCACGAGGGCAAGGCCAAGCAGGCGTTGCATGAGGCAGTGGAGATGGACCAGGCCATCGGAAGGGCAGGTGCCATGACTTCCCAGAGAGACACCTTGACCGTGGTTACCGCAGACCATTCCCATGTTTTCACTTTTGGTGGATACACCCCCCGTGGCAACTCCATCTTTGGTGAGCGGGCCGGTCGTTGGGGTGGGAAAGTCGGGGAGGCAGCCGGGATCCCGTGCGAACTGAGGAAGGAAATTGAGATGCTGGTGACGGATAAGAGGGCACAGGAGAGCTGCACAGCTGGGCGATGGTGGCTGAGTAGACTGTGGCCCCGGAGAGTGGGAGAGAGAAAGGGTGGGTGCATGGAAGGTGGCTTCATGGACATAGTCTGGGCTCCTGAAGGATCACAAGGAATACCAAGCCACAGACCCCGGGAAGCTTGGTTCGGGGGCTGGTGGCCAGACTTCCAGCTCCCTGCTGTGACCTTGGACCCCGTTTCCTGCGCAGGTCTGGCTCCCATGGTGAGTGACACAGACAAGAAGCCCTTCACAGCCATCCTATATGGCAACGGGCCCGGCTACAAGGTGGTGGATGGTGAGCGAGAGAACGTCTCCATGGTGGATTATGGTGAGACCACCAAGGCCGGCCAGGGCTGGGAGGGGAAGGGTATCGGTCCACCGAGGGCTGATGTGGTCCTGGAGAAGTCCAGATTTCAGTCACAACCTCGGTTTGGGTTCTCTCCTGTACTTTAGCAACGTGGACACATGATTTCAGCTTTCTCAGCTTTAATTTCTCCCATGAAAGGCTTCTGCCTTCTGGGGACTTCACCCTGGAAGGTGAAATGGGTCTGGTGAGCCTAGTTTGGTGTCTGGCCTGTATTGAGTACCACATGTGTTTTACTGGGTGAATACGCTGTAGGGGCCTGAGAGTGTGGTCTTCTGGGTCAGGCAGGCTTGGGTTCAAACCCAGTAGCCTCTGGTGAAATAACCACCTCCACCCTCTCCCCCTGCTGCTGCCACCACCACCAACAACCCATTCCCCCACTCCCCAGTCACAATCCCCACCCCACCCCACTGGGTGCTGAGTGAGCTCTGGCTTCCTCTTTCTGTGAAAAGGGCCTTCAAGCCAGTCTGGGGGTGAAGGAAAAGGGAGGGTTTCCCTCACAGCACTGAGGCCCAGGCAGTCTCTCAAAAGACATCTCTGGCCTACAGCTCACAACAACTACCAGGCTCAGTCTGCTGTCCCCCTGCGCCACGAGACCCATGGAGGGGAAGATGTGGCAGTCTTTGCCAAGGGCCCCATGGCACACCTGCTGCACGGCGTCCATGAGCAGAACTACATCCCTCACGTGATGGCGTATGCCTCCTGCATTGGGGCCAACCTCGACCACTGTGCCTCAGCCAGCTCCAAGAGCAGCCCCATCCTAGGGCCCCTGCTGCTCCCGCTGGCGCTGCTGCCCCTAAGCACTCTGTTCTGAGGGCCCAGGGCCCACAAGCCCACAGTGGACGGCCAGCTCCACTCTGTATGTGGCCCACCACCCGGTAGTCCACACCCAAGGGAGAGGCCCAGGCAGCCTCAAGTGGGAACAGAAGTTTGCTGCCCGTCTTCCGTCTAGAATCCTCCATGGGCTGGAAGATTCCAGGCTCTGCCTTTACTCCCTACTCACTACCTTTAGGCCAGCAGGGCAGGTCTCTCTCGGGCAGGCAGGACATAGACTGCACAAATTCCCAAAGCACCTTATTTTTCTACCAAATATATTCTCCAGACCCTGCAACCTCCATGGAACATTCCAGATCTGACCTTCCCTCCCCTCATCCCTTCCCTCTGGAACACTGGGGCCCCTAGTCATGGCCAGTCTCCAAGTCCAGCCCTCCCTGGAGGGGAGACCAGGTCTGCACAGGATGAGACTCCCCGGAAGCCACCTCCGGGGTTGGCTGTCTCCCCAGGGTGGCCGCTGGACAGGACGCACACTCCCCCACCCAGCTCCAGAGACACACGCCAGCCCTTCACTGAAGCGGTTCTCCTGTTTGGAACAGCAAAAAAAGAAAAAAAATTAATTTCTCTTTTTGGTGTTGGTTAAAAAGGAACACAAGACATTTAAATAAAAACGTCCCAAATATTTCTGAGGCCGGAGCTGAGTCTTTGTGGTCAGTGGGAAAGAAACCAAAATAGGCTCATTGCTCAGGAAAGAACTGGACTTGGGGTCCAGGGTGAGGACGTGGGGAACGGGGATATCAGGACTCCTGTCAGCCAAGTGGGGCTTCAACACGCACCGGCTGTGACAGTGTAGATCTATGGCTTTGTGTCCCAGTGCGCCAGTGTACGGCAATGGGAGACACCCCACTTGTGGCTCACTGTGAGAGCTGAAAGAGGGAGAGAGAGAGAGAGAGAGAGAGAGAGGGAGGGAGGGAGGGAGGGAGGGAGGGAGGGAGGGAGGGAGGGAGGGAGAAAGAGAGAGAGAATCTACACCCGCAGCAGTGAAGGCTTTGGTGGCCTGGGCTGCCTTCACAGCACGACACCCACAAAATACACCGCATAGCCTGGTGTAATGTAGCTCATTGCTTTCGGCAAATCCTGAGTGCATGCCAGGCACTGTTTATAGGGCTCAATAATCTCATGGCGGTGGCCAGTGAGAAGGCTTAGCCCGTTAAGCCACTTGCCACACGAGCATAACAACTCGCGTTTGATCCCCAGAACCCGTGGAAGGTAAGAGAGAGCTGGCTCCACAGTTCTCCTCCCGTACCCCCACACGTGCGGCGGCACACGCTCACTCTGCAACCCTAGGGCATCGTGGTGAGTGCGGTGGACATGGCCCTCCCTTGCAGAGCTTCTAGTGTCCTAGCAACTGTCTCCCCATGGCCACTTCTCCTGGGAATGCTCCAGATGCTGGGGTACACAGAGTCCCCCAAGTTCGTTCCTCTTGCCTCAAGCCGCTTTGCTCATGAGAATGAACGCCGGCCCCTGCCCATAGCCAATAACTCCATCCTGACGCTCTGCAGAGTCATTCAGATTCCTCTTTGGGAAACTCTTCCCATCACCCACGCTTATGAGTGAGGACACCCACAGCGTGGAGGGCACATGATTGTCAAGGTCTCCCACGTTGTAGACAGGGATTTGAATCCAGATTTGCTCGATGCCAGCGTTCCTTCACTTAATGACATCTTTTATTTGTTTATAATTCATTTCCAAATTCCTGCCCACCCAGTCCCAGCCAATGCCAATGACTCACAATCCACACCAGTTAGACAGGAACCGGGATGGAATATCTGGAGTGGACATCCTTCAGGTCTGAAAGGACAGTGAGCAAATTTTGCTCCGAGCTCCCTAGCAGACAAAGCAAAAAGGGAAGCACAGCCAGGCTGATGCTGGGCTGAAAAACTGAATTGCATACAGTCTCATCAGGACAGAGATTCCTGTCTCGTCTTGAACTGTGTATCACGGTGAATTGAGGTGTTAGCACGATACCTTCGTAGTCTTTGTCCAGTCTCTGGGCGATCCTTTAAGCAGTTCTTTATATTTGCATGGAAGCAGTCCATTTTAAACATTCCCCAGGACTGCCTGCAGTCCATCAATGTTAACAGCTAAAATCACGATCGCCACAGGAACTGGACACAAGGAACGTGTGAGCCTCAGCTTCGTGTCTCAGGCTGAATAGGGCATGAGTTATTAAATTGAAGAAGTGGAAACAGAAAGAGAACAAGGGGCTGCGTGCCTTGGCAGCAGGGTGCAAGAGGTACGCTTCAGAGTCACACCCAGGGTGTGGAGGAGATGGGGTGTTTATTCTCTAGCTCCCCTCCCTCACTGGCTAAGGGCTGGACCAGAGAAAGATCACATTGAGCTTCCAGCCTGCTTCTTGAAGGGCTGAAACCCCTTATAGACCAGGGATAGGAATCCGGGATTCCAGAGGGCAGACACTCTGCTGAATCTTGGGATGTGCTAAAGGGGAAAGCATCGCCGAATCAGAACCACAGAGGCTGTGGACTGGGACAAGGTCTTGCAGCCTTCTGACACCCCTGTCTAGCATGCCGTGGTCACCAAAGTCCCTGCTGGGAGCATGTGGGATGTTGTCAAGGTTGTGCAGAGGGCTGGGTCCTGGCTCATACACATTATAGGACCACTGTCACCCAGGCTGCTAATTGTGTGGGTTATGCATCCTAATCTGAGCCAGGGGTCTAGGCAGTGGGCCCAGCTCTGTCCCCAGCAACCACAGCCATCACAATTGGCATCCAGT